AACGAGCATTTTTTAAACTCCGCCTTCAACAAACTAACACTTTTTAAATCCAGTCCCCCCCCCCCTTCAAACAATCTGACATTTTAAGCTCCCCCCTCACATACTGACAGTAATCACCCCCCTCCCCCCACACACACAAACCTCCTCCCTCACTGCCAGTATTGAAGTGTCCTCCCTCTGATATCCCCCCCTCCCCCCCCCACACACTAACTGTAGCTGTGAGATAAGATCCCATTGATTTGTATACACCGATTACACAAACAAAGCCCCATGAGTAGACAACAAGCCACAGAATGTATGCAAATTGAATCGCTGGTATATTGACATAGTGTTTATAGGCTCTCTCAAATAGGTGGAGGTCACTCCGTGTTGAAACAAAGCGTTCTTCTGTCACTGTAAAACACTTGGGGTTTAACAGTACATTCTTCTTCTTCTTCTTCTTCTTCGTTCTTAATTATTAGTGTTGAAGGGGATCGAGATTTATCTGCCAGTGGGTTTGAACTCGAGACTTTGTTCGAATTTATCAACCATGAGCTTTTTGCCGACTCGACCACGCCTCCAACACAATTAAGCGTTACGTGTCAACTGGTTATGCGCCATTGAGGCCATTGACTCCGATTTCAGCCTGCTTTTCTTTTTGGATTTGCTTCCATAGCCTTTGTCCAACCAAGAACAAACTACAAGGCAGCAGTTGTTTTAATTTTGGAGTTGTCTCTCCTAGAAGAGTGGCTGTCCCCAGCTAACGAGCCTCATCTGCCCGAGGGTTCGAACTCGAGACTTTTCGGTTTAGCAACCATGAGCTTTACCGACTCGACCACGCCAACCCCACAGTACATTCAATAGTACGGGTTTAACAGTACATTAAATATTACGGGTTTAACAGTACATTCAATATTACGGATTTAACAGTACATTACATATTACGGATTTAACAGTACATTACATATTACCGGTTTAACAGTACATATAACGTCACAGATGTAAAGGTACATGAAACATCACAAGTTTAACTGTACTTCAACCATCACCTGCTTAACATCACATTCACATTCAACATCACTGGTTTACTGTACATCACACATCACAGGTTTAACAGCATATCAAACATTTAAGAGTTTAACAGTACATCAAACATTTAAGAGTTTAACAGTACATCAAACATCAGGGGTTTAACAGCACATCAAACATTTAAGAGTTTAACAGTACATCAAACATCAGGGGTTTAACAGTACATCCGATGGTCTTGTAGAACATCAAACATGAAGGTGTTCAAAATACGTTCAACATGTTTTCTGTAAAAGCAAATCAAATAGCAGTGCCACCTGTGTTCTGCAACTTATTTTTCCGACCGTACCCGACCGCAGAGGCATAGCGACCCTTCCCGGCGCCCGAGGACAAACTTTCGATTTGCACCCCCCCCCCCCCTCGAACTTTTGATTTACACACCCCCGTCAAGCTTCTAATTTGTTTTTCCAACCCATTTTGGCGCCCCCCTAAGGTCGGCTCACGGGGACGTATGTCCCCCCCCCCGCCCCCCCCCCTCGCTACCCCTCTGCGCGACCTTACCCAACCGTACCAGATTGTACTCGGCCATTCCCAGAAATCCCCTCCCACACAAGACTAATTTAACCGCCTACATTGACAATTTTTTAAACAAAATATTTTATGATCTTTGTCGTGGTTTTTATAACAACACCTCTAATTGAGCTAATAATCAATTATTCTCTCATCTATCCACGAGTGTGTGTGTGTGTTCGGGGGTAGGGGGGGGTCAATGTACTTAAAATAAATCTCATCCGGCCATTACCTCTTGAACATTCAGCAGAACTGCTACATAAAAAAGATACAATTGACATAAAAATAGCTTTAACTAACGTTTAATTGTTTTATTACAAGGGGTTGCGATGTAATTAAAATTGCACTTAGCCTTGTATTTAAGGTGCGGTTTTTTACACAAAGAATTTCAGCAATTTTTTAAAGTCCAATTTTTAAAATAACCTTATAATGGAGTTTTATCATCGTGTTCGATCTATTAGCTGTTTGAAATTTCAAACCATTTTAAGATTCGAGATTATGCTGGCTTTATTGTTATTTGAACAAAGCAATCTGGTTTTTTGGGCATCCGGTATTACTAAAGGGGCTGTCAGTTGATCGTGTAACAAGGGAACGATAACACATAACGCGTTGTATCAACAATTCTGTTATACAGCCCGGCGGGGGGGGGGGGGGGGGGGGTGGTGGTATGTTTGTCAGGCGCTAAGAATAGACAAGTGACGTAACATTTGTTGATGTACTGGTCATGTGACCAATTAGCTAAAGTCATCAATCAAGGCTGGTTTGGAAAGACGTGAAGTCATGTCACGTACGAAGATAAAGTAGAAACATCAAGGGGCAAAATCATGAAATAGCAAAGTCACTAAGTCATCAAGTCACGTTTTACGAAATGTAGCGAAATTAAACATCAAGAGACAAAATCATAAAGTCACAAAGTCACAAAGTC